CATTGTACTGCACTATAGTACAAATAACTCTTCACTTCTAAAGTAAATTTTACTAAATAATGTCTGCTATGAAACGTGTACTATTTTTATAGAAAAGTTGTGATTAGAATACTAAATTCTAACACAGGCTGTACATGTACAATATTTGAATTTCCTTTCCCCAGTGTGTTCTAGATAAGGACTCATAACTTCTAACTCACAAGGATGAGTTAATTGGAGTAACTGTGTGTGCAGTGCCCAGAAATTTGTTTATTACATTTTTTCTGTTTAGAAAAACCCTACTTAATATTAAATAATGCATACTTATATAAGTAATAGACAGCATAGGACAAAGCCTTTAATATTAAAGTGTTTATTCATCATCTATAATAGTCACAGCTGGAAAGCCAAGAGCTTTGAGATTATATTTTTATTAACAGATTTTCTTTTGTCTAACTTTGCAATGAAATACTGTAAATAGTAAATACCAATTAAATGCATAATGCATTTAATTACAGTAAATGCAGTTAAATATGTTTAAATAGACCCCCCCAAAAAAATATTGAAGCACTATCACTGGAATAGTGATAATCTCAGTTATACCATGTTTTATATAAAATCCACACAAATATAAAATTGGGCTAAAAATCAGGTATCAAGCATAGATAAATAACTATTTTCTTAGCAGGATACTTAAGACACTATGCTTTCCTTAATAATGGTCCTGCTGCTCACATTAACAGAATTATACTGCCAGGGCAGGTTCACATTCAACACCGTTGCAACATAGAATATTTCTAAAGTCCCCATCAGGTCACACTGGTGCAAGACACTAGAGTGACCTCTAGAAGCTGTGTTCAACTATACTTGAAAGGACTTGAGAATGGTCCAGGACGGACCGAAACGTCGTCGTCCTTTCAATTTCTAGTGTGTGGTTTGGTCAACATACTTAAAAGGGTTTAACCCCAGCCAATCCCTGAATCTTGAATGAGAACTTGCCAATAGGCGTCATGGACATGAAGCGAAACAAGCTATTAATAACCCCATACCTGGAGAGGGTTCTGGGAGTTCTTTTACTCTGAGCCCAGCCAGAGGCCAGACCCCATACCACAAAAATAGGTGGTAAGCCATCATGTTGGACAGAGGATGTGGGCATTGACTCATGACAGGTCAAGAGTCGAAAAAATAACATTTTTGGTCTCTGCCATTCTGAAGTGCATTTTATAACGGCCAGGATGAATATGAGGTGGGCTGTCAGAATACCACGTTGACATAAAGGTGCTCTCACCTGGTGGTAGTCGAAGGTAGAGCCGTGATAAGCAAACTCGCTCTTAATAAGATTACTTATTGCAGTCCCTTTAATACTGACTAATGGTTGACGGGGAGTTCTCATTATAGTAAACAAGACTACTATATAGCTTATTCCTGGCTAGTTCACGTCCTCTCCATTGTCTCCCCTGCACCAGTATGATCTGACAGACATCTGAAATGATCCCTGTTGCACCGGTGATGAATATCGACCTACCATGGCCAATAATATTTCTATCCCTGGGAACAGCAGGCAGCAGGACTTTACCTAAGGGAGCTACCGAGTGGACCAGCTTTGAAGGAGCATAAACTTCAAATTAAAGCTAATATTTAGTAGTAGCAGTGACTTAATTATTTAAATGAAATTCACAGAAAACATTAACTGGCCAAATTTAAGATTTCTACAAACCTGAACATTCTTAAAAGGAAAGACTTGTTACATTTTAATGAGACAAGGAGGGGGGGGGGGGGTTGAAGGGAAAGTGGGGAGCATAGAAGTGCATACAAGTCTGTGGAAGCAGACATGAAACAAGATTATTATTGTCAATTAAAAAAAATATAAATAAAAAAAGTAAAAACAAATGTGAATGTCAGTTAATTTAATGTTATTTTACTAACACAGTTTAAGACTAATTAAATGTAACTTATGTGCAGTAGAGTTACCTAATGGCCAGTCATTATTTTAACTGAACAGACTTTACATAATAAATTTTGAAAATATTCATGACATACCAGGAACCTCCAAATTTAAATAAAGGTTATGAGAACTGGTTACCGTATATATAACAAATAAAAAATTAAGAGCAACATAAAAGGGTAGCAGTGCAGTGCCTTACATCACACCAAGCACCATATACAACCCATGAAATTATTAAAGTAACAATATAATTAAGACATTACGCAAAAACAATTTTTTTTTTTTAAATACTGTATGAGATAGCTTTATCTTTTAAAGTAATTTTTACAATCTGATTCCTAGTACAAGTAACTGCTTCAGTTTCATGGTGTGATGGAAGCTTATAAAGTCAACTTGTAATAACAAAATAAAACTTAAAATTTTCTCTAATTCTGTGTAAGATAGTACAAGGATAACACTAAAAGCACACTTGAAAAAATGTTGGTGTGCTGTAGCACATGAAGCCAACAAAACTTACTTCCCAGACTAAGGAATAAGTTTACTGAACTAAACATTCAAATCTCTCTCAACCATGGCTACATATATCAAAGATCTTCTGAAAAACACCAATACAAAACTAAGTTAACATTTGTGGTCGAGATGCAAATCGAGGTAATGAGGTGCTTGAAAATTTTCAATAACTTGTTGCCACTGGGCAAGAAATTATGAAAATATATTAAAAGATAAAATGAGTAACATTGAGTGGTGATGAAAGGATTTCTTACCAGCCCTGTCATCGGAATCGTCGTCAGGGAATAAATCCACAACAGGGTCGTCACTTTTGTCTTTTTTCTCCTCCATAGAAGATTCAGAATCCTACAAATAAAAATCCATTTAGTTTAACTAAATTAAAAATAAAATTATAACTACTGAGACAATCACTCAAACAATTAAAACAATTAAAATCTTTTACAAACTACTTCAAAATTTTTGAAGATATGCTATCCAGGACTGGAATTTACACACAGTACTGTACAGTAAATCGCTGCCATAATAAGCTCTCGCACAAAAAATCTTCCTTATCTATCAATCCCATACATTCTTAACACCTTACTTTTGTTGTATTCTATGTACCTTTTCACATATAATGTGAAATATATCTGCATATTTTATATTTGCAGATATTTTTTGAGGTATTTTATATCATGATATATATGCATATTTTCAAAGGCAACAAATGTTTAATAATTTTTAATGATAATGATTTTAATGATTTTTAAACAATGCTTTTTTAAGTTACAATGGGTTTATCCTGCCTCAATTTGAATCATACTGTGCCCTAATACAAATGTACAAACCATGCCACACCAATGAAAACAGTTCCTATACTGTAGTACCGAAACATTTTACCAGCATATTAGTATGTTGCCTATTCATTAAGCTATTGTTTAATTTGTGCATTAACATATCACAGAAAATGCTTACTTCAATAATAAGTATTAAAATTAGTTATTAAATAATTAATTGTTTGAATAATTGTGCAAAAACAATGTATGAGCTACAGTATATGTTATTGTATAAAACAGAATGGCATCATCTGCAATTCAATTAGATACAAGGTGTACTGTATGTATATATTTTTACAATACTGTATAAACAATTCTGGTCGTGAGTTAACCATTATTTTGAAATAGTTTACTGTCCATAACTATCAGTCAAATTCAAATAATTATTATAAGGTTTTGTGCGCTTTGAGTCACACATTCCAATCAAACTGGATATGGACTAGTGTTATTAAACCAGGACAACAAGCCTCTCAACCCCATGTATCCAAGTAAAACAACAAGAAACTAACTTGTACATCCGCATCATATTTCTTGATGGTGGACATGAATTCTAAGTGTTTTTTGTCCTCCTCCAGTTGTGCCACATGCTGTTCAGAAGCTTGCAACTTTTGCTGTGTGGAGGCCAACTCGTCCCTAAGCCAGGCATTCTCCTGGCACAGTCGTCGCACCTGAGCTCGCAGCTTCTGTTTTTCTGCCTCAACAGTTTGCAAGTGTGAGGCCAGAGCAAGCATAATCTGTTAGGAAAGATTAAGTAAAAGGATTTTATACAAATAATAATATATCCACAATATCTTGAGGTTCTAAAGTAAAAACATTGTTGACAAAACACAATAAATCATACTTGCAATCATACAATACTGGATATCTGGAGGGAGCCGGTCGGCTGAGCGGACAGTACGCGGGGCTTGTGATCCTGTTATCTTGAGTTATCTTGAGATGATTTCGGGGCTTTAGTGTCCCCGCGGCCCGGTCCTCGACCAGGCCTCCACCCCCAGGAAGCAGCCTGTGACAGCTGACTAACACCCAGGTACCTATTTTACTGCTAGGTAACAGGGGCATAGGGTGAAAGAAACTTTGCCCATTGTTTCTCGCCGGCGCCTGGGATCGAACCCAGGACCACAGGATCGCAAGCCCGCGTGCTGTCCGCTCGGCCGACCGGCTCCCCATCGGTACACATCTCAGTGTTCACTCCTCAACCTAGTTGTTTATCAACTTTCCTAACACAATTCTCATTGTCAATTTCTACTAATCCAAATATTGTTTACACAAACATTCCTTTATGCAATGTGTAGACTAAATTGATTGTAAGCTAATGCGTATTAAACTGTAAATGTAGATGTGTTTACAAATCAATTACCATTTGTGATCTGTCGTTTCCTATCCCTGTAGACATAAATTCTGATATAAACGCAAACTCCAATACTACCATTCACAATAATCCACTTCCCAAAAAGATACTTTAATTAAAACTTGAGAGGTTGCTTACCTGAGCCTCTGAGAGCCCCAGTTCAATTTGGTCGAGGGACTTCTGGAGAATTCCTGCTTTTTCAGAGATAACATTGGAATCTGGCGGATGGTGCGACGAGGAAAGTGTGGAATTTATGCCACTGAGGATGGAATTGTGTTCATTTCTGAGTGCCTCTAGCCCCTGCACCACCGTCCGTGTGTGGGACGCCACCTCCTCCTGGGTCAGCGCTGTCATCCTCCCGATGCTCTCTATCTTCTTACTGAAACAAAACACATGTTGCTCAATACACAAGATAATAAACATGCTGAAATACAAGAACCAATTATGCTTATCACTATAAAACCCAATCAGACACCTGGTCACATCTTTAGTCTTTCTAAAACTATATAACACCAAAATGTTAAGGAATTTGTGGAGTAATATGAAGATAAATTATTTTAACAGCCCACAGGCATTCTGCTATCAAGTCTATACCTCACAGTACAATCTTAACTGTTCTCTTCAAATTAAAAAAAAAAAATTGACAGTCATAAAGGCATGAAGCTCAAATGGTGTACCTTTTAAGTATTTATGGCTTATTTTGCCATAAACAAATGTTAGTCATGTCCGTTTGTTTAAGATTTCCAACAGGAATCTTTATTTTCTCATAATGAGTAACCTAAGTATTGTAGACTTTCAGGTCAGGGTAAAAAGGTATAGAGCATTTTCTCCATGTTCGAAATTACGACGGAATGAGCTCTGAGGGTCAGGGGTCTTCAGTGCCAGCAATTAAAAAAACCTGTACAGTATTCAGAAACACATGAAGAAAGCAAGAAAGCAGAACTAAATCAACAACAACATTTATATACTGTATAATATTATATATATATATATATATATATATATATATATATATATATATATATATATATATATATATATATATATATATATATATATTAAATATATATAGAGAAAATATGAAAATAATAGTAAATATATTTAGTCCTCCAGTGGCATTAATGAAGTGACAGACCACCACCACTGTGGATAACCCTAAGATTCACCTACAGCAAAATCTCTCCTCTTACCCAATGCATCATATTTCTAGCAGAATTGACATCTGGCAAAAATTTGTATTTTAGTAAAAATTACAAGGGGGGTTTTATATGTGGAGCATTAAAGTTTAAATATTTCTATCCAGGCAAAAGAGCTGCATTTTGTAGTGTCAAAATCTTGAGAACATGCTACACTACAAGGAGGGTATATGGCATGTTCTGCTAGTTGCTGTGGTGTTGTCTAAGATGTTGCAGTGTTATGGGGAGAAGTATTTGTGGCCATGGAGTATTTATACTATGTATAGTCTGTGTTGTCCATTTCAGTGCCATGCTTTTCTCTTGTGAACTGTATTGTCTCCACTTTCTGCTGGGGCTAAAAATGACATGGTCTTTTGTATGCACAATAACTCACTTTTTATTCTGTGCCTTTAATGAGAAATTCTGAAGATGGTAAATAATATAATTTTTATCTAGGAACATCTTACAGAGTACAGAAAATTAACCACTAATCATATTTTCCTTTTGTGTGGAAAGGAAGGGTGCAAGCAATCAAAGAGGAAGGAAACAAACAAAAGAGGAAACAAGCAAGAGAAAGGAAGGAAGCAAGAGAAAGGAAACAAGAGGAAGGAAGCAAAAATTATGATGCAAACAAGATATAAGAATGAAGGAGGCACTGAAGCATGAGAAAGTAAGGAAAGAAACAAGAAGCAAGTGGCAGGAAGGAAAGAAGCAAGTGGAAGAAAGGAAAGAAGCAAGTGGAAGAAAAGAAAAAAGCAAGTGGCAGGAAGGAAGGAAGCAAGAAGCAAGTGGCAGGAAGGCAAGAAGCAAGTGGCAGGAAGGAAAAAAGCAAGAAGCAAGTGGCAGGAAGGAAAAAAGCAAGAAGCAAGTGGCAGGAAGGAAAAAAGCAAGAAGCAAGTGGCAGGAAGGAAAAAAGCAAGAAGCAAGTGGCAGGAAGGAAAAAAGCAAGAAGCAAGTGGCAGGAAGGCAAGAAGCAAGAAGCAAGTACAGTAGTTGGGTGAAAGCAAGTGACAGAAATAAAGAAAGAAGCAATTGGTGGGAAGGAAGCAAGAAGAAAAGGAAGCAGGAAAATTAGAGGAGGTAGTGGGGGGGCATGTGTTGTAGAGGGTAGTTGTATTGATCAAGGCAGCTACTTAGCCTGTTCCCTCTTCCCTCCCGCCAAAGTTACCCGGATCAATAAACTCTGGTCACGGGACTCCGTCGCCCCCTTACCGAATATCCTCCACAAAACTTGTGAACAATTACTAAAACTTCGATATTTATTTAGCAAGTAACGTAATGATTGATGCGAGGACAATCAATGCTTGATGATATAAATGGCACATGACTTTCCTACAGGAAGGTGGGGGCGAGGCAAGATGAGCCAGCCAGCTTGCTTCAGTGTCACGAACTGTGGGGTGGCATACCTCAAGGTCAACATGGCGACGGTATCTGGCATTCACTAACTGCCATTCTTCATGTCCCTCGTGTAACAATGGCAACAATAATCCTCCTCATGGCGACAATAATACCTGTTGTTTATTATATTGTCCAAGACTCACAACCTACTTCAAAATGAACTGTAAGAGTTACATGATATACAGTGTTCTTACTGTTTACACAGATTCGGTCAAGCATTCAAACTACTGAAAGTTTGAAAGCTTTCAAATTGCTCACTGGAAAAGAAATCTCAATACATGAACAACTTATACGTAAGATTCTTATGTACAATAAAAAAAATAATGTAGAAATACAGAACAAAAAGTATGACACCCAATATGAAGTAGGCTTGACATAAGCAGTTACAGAATACAGTCAACCTATTAAGTGTACAATTATTCCAATCTTCTACCAGTAAACCAAAGGAATACTGTCAGAACAGAAGGAACTCTACAAAATCCTGAAATAACTGTAGATCGCGGCCCGTTAACATGAAAAGCCTCACTGACCTGGCTATCACCAGAGAAGTCTGGCCTCAAGGTCGAACGGCAAGACTAAATAAATAAATAAAATAAATAAATAATAAATAAATAAATATATATATATATATATATATATAGAGTATAACCCAGTCACATACCCTGTATTCAATTATTCAATCCTCACACTTATCGCTACTCTTTTGTTCCTGAACAAATAGCCTGGATGTCACACACAACGCAAAGGTCGATGATATTCTTGAGAGATATAAGAATTTTGCACCAAGACTGTAATTTTTTGTTGAATTATCTGCATGTCTCTTGCAAATAGTCTATACAGTATACCTAGGCCATAAAAGTATTTGTGTGTACGTCTGATACCATACTACTTGTGAAGGAGGAAATGTATATGTTTATCTCTCAGAATGTTTGGTAATATGTTTATTGTTTGTGATGTGTGTATATGTATGTATTAACACGATGAGAATAGCTTGAGCTACCTCATCCCTTTGTGTGTATTTTACATCAATAAACTTATTTCAATTTATCGCTACTCGCCCACTCAACTATACACTTCTCAGCCTCCCAAGTCTCGTCCCCCATTCACAAACTTTATTTTAAATCTACCAGACCTGGAAGCATGTCCCTTGAACCCTCACGTCTCCAAAACCACCACTAAACATTAGTGGTGGTGGCTCCACCACGCCAAACATGGCACACAAACATTAACCAAACAATATGAAACTGTAACGGTTCTATTGTTACGTAAAGTATGGTGACAAATAAACACAGACACTAAGATACTATATATATATTTGGTCGAATATACAGAAGTACACCGGTGATACTTTGGTGTGAGTTGAGCGCACTGAGCGTCGGTACAGTATCTCGCAAGTGTCTGCTCTAGACCACACTTGAAAGTAGACTCTGGTTAGTGTTTGCTATTCTGCTGCTTATATGCTTGGGCAACACCTCACCTCATTCATCTCCAAAGGTTGACAGGAATATTAACAATGGAGCGAGTATATTATTGGGATAATCTACTCGCTACAAAACCAATACAGAATTATTTGAAATTCTTAATACTGTTGTTGTTCTTTACAGTAACATGGGTCGCGAACGGGCAGGAGGAAGGATGGCACTGAGTCAATAGCGATACCTGCTTGATGGGGTTGAGGGAGTTGTTCTACTCCCCAAGCCCGGCCAGAGTTCAGAGGAAAGGATGGCACTGGAGCCAATACCCAGTCTGGGGGCAGGGAGGCACTGGAGCCAATACCCAGTCTGGGGGCAGGGAGGCACTGGGGCCAACAGCCAGTCAGGGGGCAGGGTGGCACTGGGGCCAACAGCCAGTCAGGGGGCAGGGTGGCACTGGGGCCAACAGCCAGTCAGGGGGCAGGGTGGCACTGGGGCCAACAGCCAGTCAGGGGGCAGGGTGGCACTGGGGCCAACAGGCAGCCAGGGGGCAGGGTGGCACTGGGGCCAACAGCCACACATGTTGGGGGGGGGTGGCACTATCGCGAACAACACACTAATTTTTACGAGCGCAAAGAGCCATTATAAAACACAGTCAAGCCATCGTAAACAAAACTATGTGCGACGACATGGACGACGACGACGTGTAGTTTATGGTGATACATTGTTCAACATTACTCAAATGTTCATACCAATGCCACAGAAGTATAATGATGCATGTGAACACAATTTATCTGTATAGATTGTTCATGACGGAACAATGTTACAAACTCGATAGTTTGTAAACAACATTACATTACGAGTACAACAGTTAACAATTCACAGTATATTACAAATAAATGAATAACCTCTCAATTCATATTTCTCATAATAGTGAAATACTATACAAAAAAACACGTTCTAGATTGTAGTTTTTTTTAACTTAAAATGTTGGTTTTCGTCATATTAATAGAGGAGGCTAGCGACCACTTCGTTAAAAATGCAACCATTTCACACAACCAGAAACACACGAAGCCACATAACTATTTAGGATGAGGCATAGAAAACTACAATAAATTTTCCTAATTGGCCACATTACCAAACTGGTCGATACCGTTAAATAAGCGACGTTTAAGGCAAGAGGGCGGGTGGATATGCAAGATAAGTTCATGGTGAGATAAAAGTCCGAGGAGCTGGTGCTAGCACGCCACCACCCCCCGAGGGACCAGTTCTTACACAATCCATATTTTTCATAGTAATTTATCAAGTAGAAATGCAAGACTGCAATTTACTATTCTGTTAGGTGCAGTCTTCGTGACTGTAGATTCTATACACTTGTAATATAAAAGTTTAAATTTAAATTTTGCCCCGAGGGGCGA